GGGGGGGGGCGGGAGAGGGGGACTTCCCAGGCCACTCCTGGGGCGGACTGGATTTGCCCTGGGGGCTGAGGGCATCTCAGCCCCTCTAGGGGGCTCTTCTCTGGGTGACGGGGGGGTCTGAGATTTGCCCTGGGGTTGGGGGATTCTCAGCCTTTTGCGGGGGTCCTTCCTTGGTTCTTGCGGGATCTGTGTCAGCCTTGGATGACGGAGGCGAATCACTTTTGGAGGGGCTCTGCTGGGGTGACAAGGCTTTTGGATTTTCTGTGGGTCTGGGCGGCTCTGACTTTTGGGGTCTTCTCCTTGGTTGCTGGGGAGTCTGGCTTTGCCCTCAGTGTTGTGGGGAATCACACTTGAGGGGAATTTACCTTGAGGACGGGGTACCATCCCCTTTAGGGGCTTTTCCTCCACTGTGGGCTGCGGTTACCGCTGGACTCTTCCCTGCGCGTCGGGAACCTGTGAATTGAGTTGGGGGATTTGGCATTTCACTTGGTTCTAGTGTGTGTGCGTATGAGAGAGTTTGAAGCTGTCCTGGTCCCCTGGGGATCCTATTCTCAGGGGGCGCGGGGTGGGGTTTGGCCGGGGATCTGGGGATTTGTCCTTGGCTATGACTGCATTTGCCTCCCGGGACCGCGGAGCTGGAGTCCGGTTTTGTTTTTTGGTTTTTTTTTTTTTTTTGCAAGAGGGAGGAGGAGGATCTTGTGACTGGAGGGAGGGAGGGGAAGTGGGCGGAGCAAACTGTCCCAGGTGCCAGGTTTGGTCATGAGTGGGGAGGTTCTGGCTTAGGGACTAGTGTTGTTTTTTATGGGGTGGGGGCTCAGAACACAGTCTGTGATTGTTCCTGCCCAGGACAATGTGAGGAGCCCGGTCTTGGTGCTTGCATTTTGGATGACTGGTTTTGTTGGTGAATGGGAAGAGAACTGGCTTGGGACAGGGAGGAGATGGCTGGTTTGGAAGGTTCAATCTTGTCCCACGTTAAGGAATCTGGGGCTAGATTGGGGTGGACTGGTTTGGGGAGCAGGAAGACCTTGTTGGCTTTGGTTAAGGGCTAGAACTGACCATGGTTTGGGGAACTGTGGTCTTAGCATCCCAAGGTTGGAGTTGGGGAGTGCTGTGGGCTCATTAGGGGTGCTGGATCTCAGTTGTAGTGGGTGGGTCTACTCCACAGTGGAGGGTTGATTTGGAGGGAGGTACATTTGGCCCTAGTTGGGAGTTGTTTGGGAGTTGATCTACTCATACTGGGGGACCTGGAAGCTTTATTTGATATTCTTGGAAATGGGTTGAGGATTTTTTAATTGGTCCTTATGGGAGTGGCTAAGACTGAATTGAAAGGTCTAAGCGTTGCCATGGGTGGGCAGGAAGTCGGGATGAATTGGGAGTTAGTAAATTAGGTTGGAGAGTTTGTTTGGGGGGATGATTTGGCCTTAGGTGGGAGGAGACTGACTGGTCCAGGAGCCCTGCCTTGGGGGCTTGTGGGGAGTTGAGGAGAGCTACCCTCAGGACAGGGAGGCAAAAGGATTGGGCATTCTGGGGACCTTTCCATCCCTCCTCTGCCAAGGAAAGTGCTTGAGCTGCCCCTTCCCCAATATAAAGGCCTCGCTTCCAAAGGTTTTTCCATCTCTTCCTCCTCCCCCAACCCTTCCACCCTAGCAGCTCAGGCCCTGGACCTGGGACTTCTTGGAAGGGGTGGTAGGGGGAGGGGCTGTGCCAGTTTAGGGGAACTAGCTGAGCCCTCCTACCCTGTCCTGCACAGCTGGATGGCTGGATCCATGAGAAGATGCTGATGGCGCGGGATGGCACACGGGAAGACAGCCACAAGCTGCATAAGAGATGGCTCCGGCACCAGGCATTCATGGCTGAGCTGGCTCAGAATAAGGAGTGGCTGGAGAAGATTGAGAGGGTGAGGATACAGGAGGCCCCTCTGCCTGTGCTGGTGCTAGAGGCCTCCAGGGAGCCAGCAACTCACCCCCACACTCTCCGCTGCTGTCCTGCTGGTGTCACACCCCTGAATTGATTCACATCAGCTCCATATCTGTTCCCAGCAATGTGGTCTTGAATGATTCATGTAAACTCTTGGAGCCTCAGTTGGCCCATCTGTAAGATGGCCAGCATTTCTTCTGATAGGGCCCATATCGTCCTGTGTGTCAGATTTTTCACTCCTTCACTCTTTCTCTACCAGGCTTTCTTCTATACCATTTGGGGCTTCTGGGATGGAAGGTCAGGGAGATGGGTTGGGAAGCCCAGGGTGAGAGTGAACTTTTCACTCTTATGGCTCTGGGTGCTAATCGTGTCTGTCACAAGTTGTGGAGCCTTGAGGAATTGTGTTGACCTCTTTGCACTTCGGTTGGCTCATCTGTAAAGTTAATGAAATAATAAATATAACTACTTCCCCAGTCTCCTGTGCACATAAAATGCACATCACAAGGCCAGGCACCTAAGGGCTGAGGTAGCTATGATATTATGACTTTTAATATGTCATATAATCTGTGTAGCTCTGGGCCACCCAGGAGCTTAATTTCAGTCATGAAGGGACTCAGGGAAATTTTTGCTCCAAGTCTCAACCCGCAGAACTTCTGCCACTCTGGCTGAACCCCTAGACCTACAGCCCTGGATACACCCACTTTTCTCACTCTAACAGAGACACCCAGGGTGGCTTTAAACCCTTAAATGGCCATTGATGCTCCATAAATGGTGGCAAGTGACAAAGCCAGCATTCTTAACTTTGGACTTAATGGAAGTTCATTCTCTCTTTGCCTCTCTTCTCTGTCATTGGCCTCCTCCTTTTCCTCTTCCTCTTCTTCCTCTCCCTGTCTCTCCCTCCCTCCCTCCGTCTCTGTTTGTCTTTTCTCTCTGTCTCTCTCTCCTTGTCTTTCTTATGGTCCTCTCCCTACATCTGACTCTATGTGCATGTCTCTGTGTCCATCACTCTGTGACTGTCTGCCTTGCCCTGTCTCCTTCCCATGTCCCTGTTTGTATCCCTGTCTCTCCTTCCGTCTCTCTGTCTTCCTCCTCTCACTCTGTCTGCCTCTCTCTTTTTATCTCCCTTCCTCGGTTCCTTCCATCTCTGGGCTTGTCTCTGCATCCACTCCTCATGTCTCCCTTTGTGTCTCTACCTCCTTGCCTTTGTCTCTCTCCCCACATCTTTCCCTGTGTCCCATGTTTCTCTGTCCTTCTCCACCATCTTCCCCTCCTCCTCATCTCTTGCCATCAATCCACCTGGGGCAGGAGGGCCAGCAACTGATGCAGGAGAAGCCAGAACTGGCAGCCTCTGTGCGGAAGAAGCTGGGGGAGATCCGGCAGTGCTGGGCAGAGCTGGAGAGCACCACCCAGGCCAAGGCACGGCAGCTCTTTGAGGCCAGCAAAGCTGACCAACTGGTGCAGAGCTTTGCTGAACTGGACAAGAAGCTTCTTCACATGGAAAGTCAGCTGCAAGACGTGGACCCTGGCGGGGACCTAGCCACCGTCAACAGCCAACTCAAGAAGCTGCAGGTATGGCCTGGTTGGCCCAGATGGGGACTCCTTATGCTACACTGGGGCTGGGTCAGGGTCAAACCCCACTTGAGGTATTTCAAACAGAGAGAATTTGATACAGGGATTTATTTCCATTGCATGGAAGGGGCTGGGAGAGCAGAAAGGTAATCCTGAGGCAATCCAGCTAATAGTCACTGTGGGAAGCAGCCACCAATCCTGAGGTGTGTCATACAAAGGGAAAAGGAAGGATCTAGAGCCTTAAAGCAGTAGATAAATAACCAGCATGCTGAAGAGTTTGCAGGATTCTGACACTTGTTTCCTGGATGCAGAAACCAAGGCCTGGAGGTAGAGAAAGGCTTTGCATGGAATAATAAGGACATTCATCAAGCATTTCCTCTACCAGTGTCTGGGCCAGCACTCACTGACTCCTCCCAACAATGCCTGGAGATTGGTTCTGTTATTATTTCCATTTTACCAATGGAGAAACTGAGGCAAGAAGGCAAAGCCCTTGGCCCAAAGAAACACAGCTAGCCAGTGTCTCCCTCGCAAAACAGAGGGTTGTCAGAGAACAGGCACAGTGTCTGCTGTATCTCTGCTCCCAGCTTCGCAGCCGGGTGGCACTCAGTACATGATGGTTCACGTGGAATAAACAGAGGTGAATGTAGGCATTGCATCTTATCTCCCGCGGTGTCATGGCTCCTGCCTTTATGTGCCAGGAATGATGCCTGACCGTGACCGATGGGAAACTGAGTCTCCAGGAGGTGAACTTACTTGCCCAGGGTAGAAAGTGGACAGAGCCTGGAACAAAATCCAGGTCCCTCAACTCTTCACTCTCTGATGCACAGTTATGATTGCAATGTGCTTGGCGTAGTATGTGGCAAAAAAGTAGACTGACAATAAATGCATGGTGACACTGATTAGTATTCACTCATTAATGTCTGCCTCATATATTTATTGAGCACCTACTATGTTCCAGGTACTTTTCTCTTTTCTTTTCTTTTTTTTTAAGTCGGGGTCTCACTCTGTCCCCCAGGCTAGAGGGCAGTGGTACACTCATGGCCACGCAGCCTCAACCTGCTGGGCTCAGGCATTCCTTCCACCTCAGCCTCCCAAGTAGCTGGAACTACAGGCGTGCACCACCACATCCAGCTAATTTTTTGATGTAGAGATGAGGTCTCGCCAAGTTGCCCAGGCTGGTCTTGAACCCCTGGGCCCAGGCCATTCTCTGAGGGATCTTCTCACCCTTGGTCTCTTTCTGACCTGCCTGGACTAATTTTTTTATTTATTGCGGAGATGAGGTCTTGCCAAGTTGCCCAGGCTGGTCTTGAACCCTTGGGCTCAGGCAATCCTCTTGCCTCGGCCTCCCAAAGTGCTGGGATTGCAGGTGTGAGCCACTATGCCCAGCCTAGGTCAGTACTATTATTATACCCATTTTACTGAAGAAGAAACTGGGGCACAGAGAGATAAGTAACTTCCCCAGGCCACCCAGATGGTAAGTCACAGACCCTAAGCTGGCCTCAAAAAAAAAAAAATTTTTTTTAAATAGTACTGACCTCATATGGACATTGTGAAGATGAAGACATAATACACAAAGTAGTTTCAAAAAGGCTAACCCAAAAAATCTAAGAGTCAGTGTTTGGGGGTATATCATCACTACACTGTGTTCAAAAGTTACTTTGACTAGTTATTGGCCCATCTTTACGTTGGTTACATTATTTACATGATACGCAGTTACTTTATTTGTTTCTGTTCATATTCTTTTTTTTTTTTGAGTTGGAGTCTCACTCAGTCGCCCAGACTGGAGTGCAGTGGCCGCTCCCAGCCACCGCAGCCTCGACC